AGTTTTATCCATATGAAATTTCAGCTATCTTTTTACCCCCTGCCCAGCAACTTACTAGCTTATCCTGAAATGTGTGTATGGGAATATAAAGGACCCAGAATAGATGAAACAATATTGGAAAAAGTAGATTTAGTGATCACATAGTGTTCTGTTGGTGTAAGGATGGTCCAAGAGAATAAAGTTGAATCACTAATTAAACCCTTACATTTATGGTTAGTTGATTTCCAGTAAAGGTGCCAAGAGTGTTCAACGTGGGAAATAGTCATCTTTTTAAGATACGTTATCTCCATGCAAAAGCATGAAACAGGTCTCTTAGCTAATGTATTAAAGATTTGAATGAAGGCTTCAAACTATAATAAAATTCTTGGGGAAAACCATACACATAAATCTTAATGATTTTTTATTAGGTAGTGGTTTCTTAAACTTGTATCCAAAGCACATATTTAAGGAAAAAAATAATTGGGCTTCATCAATATTGTGGTTCAAGTTGTATTTTTTGTTGTTTTGCATGGTACTTAAAATAGAACTGAGGGACTTGCACATACTAGGCAAGGGCTCTACCACTGACCACAACCCCAGCACTCCAAAAGACTATTTATTTATTTTGGTACCAGGGATTGAACTCTGGGGCACTCAACCACTGAATAACATCCCTGCCTGTATTTTGTATTTTATTTAGAGACAGGGTCTCACTGAGTTGCTTAGCGCTTTGTTGTTGCTGAGGCTGGCTTTGAACTCCTGCTTTAGCCTCCCAAGCCACTGGGGTTACAGGCATACACCACCACACCCAGCCACAATGTGTAAAAACTTTTGCAGAGGGCCCTAATTTCAATCCCCAACACTGCACAAAAAAAAGGGGGGGGGTGGGGTGGGGTGGGGATAAAGATGGACAATTACAAATATTGGCAAGGATGTGGAGAAATTAGAATCCTTACATATAAAATGCTCATCTGTTGTGTTTGGCAGTTCCTCAAAAGGTTGTAAACAGTTTTACCATATGACTCTGCAATTGTATTCCTAAGTAAATATACCAAGAGAAATAAAATACATCCATAATACTTGCACAGAAATGTCATAGAGTCTGGGTGTGATATTGTCTCTCTGAAATAGAATGGGGCGGGGGTGTATGCAGAGATGTGCTTCAGTATTATCCAAAGTATAGTATTCCTAAGAGCCAAAAAGGTAGAAAAAAAAATCTTACATGCAGAAGGCCCTTGGTTCAATTCCCAGCACCACACACACACAAAAAAGGTAGAAACAATTCAAATATCCATCAGTTGATAAATATTAGATTCATACAAATAGTTAGCAAAAAGGAATGAAGAGCAAATCACATGCAATCCCAGCAATCTGGAATGGGGAAGCAGGAGGATCCCAAATTTAAGGCCAGCCTGGGCAATTTAGTGACCTTGTCTCAAAAGGATTGAGGATGCCGTTCACTGGTAGAGCACCATGGGTTAAATCCCCAACACAAAAATAAAGAACTATAATGGGGTGGGACTATAGATCAGTGGCAGAGCACTTGCCTAGCATATATCAGGTCCTAGTTTGTTAAGAGGCATACCTTTGGGATCTTCAGGGGGTTTGAAGTTTTAGAAGTTATAAAATTATATTATTCCAGAGAGTATGGTGGTACATGCCTGTTATCCCAGATATTGGTTGGAGACTGCATGTGTGAGTCCAGCCTTGGAAATCTAGTAAGACCGTCTCAAAATAAAAAGGGCTGAAGATGGCAGAGCATCACAAATTTGAGATTGGCTTTAGCAACTTAGGGAGACCCTGCTTCTTAAAAGTATGTTCTAATTAAACCCTAACAAATGGAATGTAAATACGAATTTTCCTTTCTGTGTGAAAGCTAAGAAAATTATCTCAGTCTACAAACCCAGGATTTTCTCTTCTTTTTTGAGACACACACTCACTGTGTTATCCAGGCTGGCGTCAAACTTAAAGATTCTTCTATCTCACCCTCCCAGTTCACTGAGATTACAGGTGTATGCCACCAAACATGGCACAAACCAAAGACTCAACCCTGTATCCATGAGCCCTATGAAAAGTACAGTTGTTTGGTATATTTTTTTCAGAGGTTTCATAAGAATCTCAAAGGAGTTGTCAAAGTACTTAAGAACCACTGCTACAGGAGCTGGGATTGTGGCTCAGTGGTACAGCGCTCGCCTAGCACATGGAAGGCCCTAGGTTTGATCCTCAGCACCACATTAAAGAAATAATTAATTAAAATAAAGATATTGTGTACAACTACAACTAAAAAACCCAAATGTATATTTTTTAAAAGAACCACTGCTGTAAACAATGAAGTGGAAAAAGACATTTATCGAGTACTAAAAAACATCTGAGAGGCACTGTGCTTCCTATGTACAGTATTTACATTACCATAAATCCTCCCAGCAACATTGTTAAATGGGTGGCAAGTGCCACATCTGTAGCTACAGTTCCTAATTGAGACAGACAAAACACTGGTTTGGGGTGAGGTGGTACTCTCCTATAATCCGAGTTCTGGGAGGCTTAGGAAGAAGGATTGCAAGTTTGAGGCTAGCCTCAGCAATTTATTGAGACTGTTGTTTTGAAATGAATTCTGGGGATAGAACTCATTATCAGGACATAATGAGCTATGTCCCCAGTGCTTTATTTTTCGGTACTGGGAACTGAATACAGCTACCACACATGAAACGACTTATTTGTACCCATTAACTTCACCACTGAGCTACATTCTCAGCCCTTTTGGTTTTGAGATAGGTTGCCCTAAATTGCTGGGGGTCTCAAAAAATTGCTATCTGGTCTTGAAATCCTGCTGCTTCAGCCTCTGGTATAGCTGAGATTACAGGTGTGCACCACTACCCCCAGAACCTCTTATCCTTCAGCTGAGCTTTGGTTAAAAGGGAATCAATCTATCCATTTATTTTTTTGGTATTGGGAACTGAACCCAGGAGTGCTTTACCACTGAGTCATATCCCAGCTCTTTTTATTTTAGATGTACATGGACACAATATTTATTTTTATGTGGTGCTGAGGATAGAATTCAGTGTCTCACCACTGGGCAAGTGTTCTACCACTGAGCTACAACCCAGCCCTTATTTTTGAGACAGGGTCTCACTAAGTTGCTTAGGACCTCATGAAGTTGCTTGGGCTGGCCTCAAATTTGCAACCATCCTGCCCCAGCCTCTCCAGTCACTAGGATTACAGGTGTGAGCCACCGGCTCCATTAACTTGTAAATGAGCAAAATCCTCTAGCATCAAAAAACTTTTTTTTTTTTGGTGCTGGGGACTGAATTCAGGGGTACTCCACCACTGAGCCACATCCCAAGCCCTATTTTGTATTTTATTTTAGAGACAGGGTCTGAGTTGCTTCACTCTTGACGAGAATGGCTTTGAATTGGCGATTCTCCTGTCTCAGCCTCCCCAGTGGCTTTCATACAAGAACCTAAAAAGTAATCAGAAATATTTTAAATTACTAAAGAATGTGTTAAAGCTTAAATAAAATCCTATTTTCCTTCTAAGAGCGTTTGGGTACAAATTATGCATGTTTGCCTTGGTTAAGGTACACCTAAGCAGGAAAAGGGGAATGCTGCAACCCCAGAGTACAGATATGCACCAAAGCACTGTCTTGAGGGCTGGCTATATTTTAACATTTTTGACTTATCCTCCGTCTATTCCATAATCATCTGAAATGCAAGAAACTAAACATTATCCTACTCTCTCCGTTTAAGTACCCAAATCTGTTCAAGCAAGCCGACGTCCTCATAATCGATTCTACACCTGGCTTGCCTCATTTAACAAATATTGAGTCTACACACTTTATTTCATTTTTACTCGGCATGGTTTCCCAAGCAAATAAATATTTACTCAATACCTCCTGAAATTACTAGTATTTTCAATGACTTAGAAAAGGAATGGATGAGAGCTACCACACATGAAACGACTTATTTGTATCCATTAACAGGTTTAGGGGACCCGATTGAATACTTTCCCGCACCCCTTTGACTTTTTCAGTTATCAACACACAAAAGGGAAATAAGATTCAAAAGAACGTTGCGACACCAATTCAGTTGACTTCAAACTTTGAGCCAAAAGTACAAAAATGAATAAATGCTTCCAGTCTCCCGGAGGAATCTTAGACTACCACCACTCTGGTGCCAAACTCCGCGGGAGTTTCCGGGGCAGAAGGCTCATCCTCCCACCGCACGGTGATGCCCCCGGCGACTGGAGAAGCGCAGGCAGGCCTGGAAGCCAGTCACCGGCACACATCAGGTCTCGGGTAAACGGCCTTTGCCCAAGACCAAGGGCCTCAATCAGCATTGAGAGCCCCCGGGGAGCGGGCAGGTCTCCCATCCTGTCCTATGCTTCCCCTCCTCTTCCCTCCCAATGGTACAGCATTCGGCAAGGGCTAGGCAAAGCTCATCTGGTCTCCAGAATTCATTCCAACAAGCCCACCGGGAAATCCCAATCCGCCTCTTCGCCCCTGTGGGGAAAATGGCGCCCGTCACCCTTTCTCCCTCCCAGGTAATCACAAGGACCAACCTCCCTCCCTTGCTACAAAATGGCGTCTCCCGCTGGAGCCCCGGAATCCGCATAATTAACTTGTCAGTGAAGTGGTGTTGGTCTGGGATGAGCGGTTCTGCTAACCAGTAAGACACAGAAACTTTGATTCCGCACTTTGCGCGAGCCACTCAGGCGCTGGCTGGAAGACCAACCTTGGTGACGTCCCAAGTTGGGGCGTGCCTAAGGGGGCGATTCCCTTCTGGTAGGTTAAATTTGGTCCAATTAAAAGCAGGGAATGCCCAGTGAGTGACGTAATGCCTGCCCAATGGAGGCTGGGGGCGGGCCTCAGACACGCTATGCGGGTTGCGGGGCCTGGGGGCCGGGCGGCTGTTTCCTGTCCTGGTGCATGGTGGTCGGACGAAGGAATTGTTGGAAAATTTTCTCGGAGGTTCGTATATAAATGTGTTTTTACCCAGTGTGCATTATTCTCCGCCCGGCCGCCGCCCTCAGCGCGGCGGCGCGGGCCCGCTTGGGCCCGGGCTCCGGCTCCCACTGCTCAACCTCGGCCGCAGGCCTTGTTGATCCTACGGCCGCCTCGGTAGCTGCGCCTGGGCAGAAGCGGAGTTTATTAATAACCCGCGGCCGCCACTCTGGGCGGCGGAGCTTTTCTAGCTGAGAACGCAACCCCCCCTGTCCCAGCGTGCCGCGCCCCGCCTGTTCCCCTCAGGGGACCGCCGAGGGGAGGGAAAGTGAGAGGAGAGGGTGGAGTCCTCGGGAACCTGGCGGCGTTTCTCGGCCTGACCTCGGCGCAGAGTCCCCAGGCGCGCCGGGGCGAATCTCCTCCGGCTGCTACGGGTCCACGGTTCACTCGAGGGCCCAGCAGGGGCGCCTGCGGCCCGGCTGGCCGTGGGCCCGCTCGGGACCCTGCTTGCGGATAGCATCCAGAATTTCCTCCCACTCGGATCGCGGAGAGATTTCTTGTTTTCTTTTTGCTTTATTATTAATTTGTTTAAAAGGATTTATGAATCCTAACACCAAGTTTTAGAAATTTGTAACTTATCATTCTCTCTTTCCCCGGTTTTGACTAAAGAGTGAACAAATCATTATAACACCTTGTAATATTTTATTGTTTTGAGTTCATTTTTGTTCCCTCCTCTCTTGATTTTTTAAAAAATTTCCCCCACATTATAACGCTTTTTAAAGGGCACCGTTGTCAGCACATTATTTGAAGTTAGTTTCTGCCTTTGCTATGGAAGAGTATAAATTAGCTGCATAGTTAAGTGGGGATGTAATGAAAAATTGTAGATTTTAAGATTGTGGTCGTTTTTGTCCTTAATTTTGCCAGAAAATGACGTGAAATCAGTGTAATACTATTTTTTTTTTTTTAAAAACTAAGTACATAGTTTATTGTTTAAGAAATTTGACGAAACACCCCCAAATGCCAGTAAGATGCATAAATAGTTTTATCCTGGCATATTTTGACTATACTGTTTATACTAAATTGGTTGTCTAAAAATGACACCTCCCCCCATTAAAAAAAAAAAACAAAACTATTGATACGATGCACATGCCTTACCTTCCACAATTTAAAGTGTATAATTAGCTGAGTTTTATTATATTCAATTTATACATTTCTTTTATTTAAAATATCAATCCCATTTATGTATCACCACAACTTTTTAAACATGTTCATCACTCTAAAAAGAAACTGTGATTCCCCACTTCCTTTCATCACCCCAGATTATGCCTATTCTGGTCATTTCATGTAAATGCAATCATAGAGGATGATTTTTGTGACTGGCTTAGCATAGTATTTGCCAGAATGTTATAACGTGTATTAGTACTTTATTTCTTTTTTTATTGCCAAATGGACACAGTTTTATTCACTCATCTGTTGATGGATATTTGGGTTGTTTCCATTTTTTGGCTATTATGGATAATGCTTCTGTGAACATTTGGGTGCAGATTTTTCTGTGGACATGGGGTTCAGGTGAGGAGTGTTATTGTTTTGCAGTGCTGGGAATCCAAACCAGGGTCTTATGTGTTCTAGGCAGGTAGGTACTTGACCACCAAAATACATCTGTAGTCTTTTTAAAAAGTTTTTGAGAAGGGCCTCACTAAGTTGTCCAGGCTGGCCTCAAACTTGTGATCCCTCTGCCTTATCCATCTGAGTAGCTGGGATTACAACCATACCACTACACTGCGTTTGGAGATAGGTGTTTATTTCTCTTGGGTACATGTACTATAAGTTGTCTCATATGATAACTCTATGTTCAACCTTTTACGGAACTGTCAAACTGTTTTCCACAGTGGCTGTACCATTTAGATTTTTACCAGCGAGGTATAAGGGTCCCAACTTCTCTACATCCTTGCCACTACTTGTTATTACACCCATCCTGGTAGATATGAAGTGGCACATATTGTGGGTTTGATTTGCATTTCTCTGAATGCTAATGATATTGAGCATTTTTTCCATGTCTCTTATTGGCCAGTTGTATGTCTTTGAAGAAATCTACTTGGATCCTTTCCCCCATTTAAAAGTTTTTTTTTTTTTTTTGGTCTCTTTATTTATTAAAAAAAAATTTTTTTTTTTTGTACCACATTCACAATCCTTTTCATTTTTTATTTGGGAGGCACTTAATCACAAAGCCATATTCACAGTCCTTTTTATTTTTTATTTTCAGAGAGGGTCTCACCAAGTTTTTGTGGCCTTGCTAAATTGCTGAAGCTGGTTTTGAAATTGCCATCCTCCTACTTCGGTCTCCTAAGTCACTGACTGGTATTACTGGTGTCCACCACCATGCCCAGCTTCTTTTCATTATTGAGTTGTAAAGTTCTTTGTGTACTCTAAATAGAAATTCCTTATCAGATACATGATTTACAGAGTAACCTAAACCTTTTGCTAAGCATTGGGATATTGCTTAAAGATTCATTGTATTCTTCATAGAAAGATGACCTGGCTGGAGTGGAAAAAAGTAATTTATTATTTTAGATGTTATTCATTGTTTACAGTGTGTGTGTGTGTGTGTATAGAGATAGATGTGTGTGTGTGTGTATACATAATGGTGTGTGTGTGTGTATATATATATATATATATATATATATACACCCATATATATATATATATATAATGATCATTTGAGAAGAACTGTATCAGTCCTGATTTCATTACTTAGCTTTGAGGTTTTATATAGTGTTTTAGAGTTTTGGTAGGGGGTAGTGGTTAAATCTGAAGTTTTACCAGTTCTGAATCTTTTTGCTCCTGGCTTTATTTCAGGACATAATGATTCCCCACCTCCATATTGGTGATTTACCCACTCTACTACTGAGCTACATCCCTAGCACTTTTTATTTTATTTTGCACTTTTTGTTTTATTTTGAGACAGAGTCTTACTTAATTGCCCAGGCTAGCCTTGAATTTGTGATCCTCCTGTCTCAGCCTCCCAAATTGCTGGGATTACAGGATCACTGCCACCACTCCTGACTAGAAAAAAAATTTTTTTGAAAACAGTGAATACCTTTCTTCACACTTTCTCATAAAACTAATCTTATTTTAAAACTGCAGTGACAACTCTACCCTGTGGAAATATATATTCATTAAAATGTAGACACAGATATATCTTTCCTGTCTATATTTCTTGGAGTTAATATTCCATTTCCACTTATGTATACCACTTCACTGGCTAGGCACTGAATTATGTGATTAAGTGTTTTATATATGTACATAAACTTATAATCCTCACTACAAACCTACTACTGTTGATACAGTTACTACTTTGCAGGTGAACCAGCTGAACTTTAGAATTATTTGTCCACTGTAAGCTGAGACATGATCCCGTGACTGGCTCAGAAGCCCATTCTCTCAACTGAAATTCTCAATAACCTATAAGACTTTAATAAGCTACCAAATGCCCTCCTCTTTAACTTCTAAAATATATCTGTTGACCCTAGAATGATAATAGTATTTTGAAATCTGTACATAAAATGACATAACATACATAGCGTTATTTATATACATCTTTTTAAAAAATATTTATTTATTTTTTAGGTGTAGGTGGACACAAAATAGTGCCTTTATTTTTATGTGGTGCTGAGGATCAAACCCGGGTCCCGCCTGTACTAGGCAAGCGCTCTACCGCTGAGCCACATATACGTCTTTAATAATAAATGCATTTGGGCTGGGGATGTGGCTCAAGCGATAGCACGCTCGCCTGGCATGCGCGGGGTGCTGGGTTCGATCCTCAGCACCACATAAAAATAAAATAAAGATGTTATGTCCACCGAAAACTAAAAAATAAATATTAAAAATTCTCTCTCTTTTTTAAAAAAAATAATAAATGCATTTGGCTCTATAGACTCAGTTTTGAAAATACAGAAATTCATTATATAGTATGGGTATAATGATCATAAGAAATTGGAAGGGGCTGGGGATGTGGCTCAAGCGGTAGCGCGCTCGCCTGGCATGCATGCGGCCCGGGTTCGATCCTCAGCACCACATACAAACAAAGATGTTGTGTCCGCCGAAAACTAAAAAATAAATATTAAAAAATTCTCTCTCTCTCTCTCTCTCTCTCTCTCTCTCTCTCCCCTCTCTCTCTTTAAAAAAAAAAAAAAAAGAAAGAAATTGGAATCATTTAAATTCATGGTACTTTATAAACAATACATACACACAGCAGCATATCATACAAAGTGAGACAGTGAAAGAAAAGGAATAAAGATCTAATCTTTAATCTTGCCTTAGGCTATAACAAGCTATGACTACTTACAACTTGTATTTCTTTTTTTTTTAATATATATATTTTTTAGTTGTAGTTGGACACAATACCTTTATTTTTCTAATGTGGTGCTGAAGATCAAACTCAGGGCCTCGCACGTGCAAGGCAAGCACTCTACCACTGAGCCACAACCCAGCCCCACAACTTGTATTTCTTTGTTCATCCATATTTAGAAAGCATATATTATGTGTCAGACATTCTCCTAAGAACTAGGAATTCAATGATGAACCAATAGACAAGAAATCCTGATATCATACAACTGAAGTGTTTGATTACAAATTCTCTAAGAGGCAAGAAGGAGATCAAGAGAGTGCTATGACAGAGAATAAGGGGTGTTGTTAAAATGTCACATATTTGAGACAGGAGGTGACACCTAACAATAAGCACAAAAGCCATCAGAAGAGTTAGGTGTATTCTAGGAAATAAAAGGGTCAGCATGGCTGTATATATTTATAATGGAGGAGGACAGTTGTTGAGACCTCTGACACATGATTATGATAAATTCAGATATTTATTGAACATATAGTCATAATTTTTAAAAATACAAAGGCCATGAGACACAGTAGCAGCCAGGTACAGTGGCACATACCTGTAATGGGAAGTTGAGGCAGATAGATCCCAAGGTCAAGGCCAGCCTCAGCAATTTAGCAAGACCCTCAGCAACTTAATGAGTTCTTGTCTAAATATAAAATTAAAAGGACTGGGAATGAAGTTCCGTGGTAAAGTACCCCTGGGTTCAATCCCTAGTACCAAGAAAAAAAAAAAGACAGTAGCATATAATAAGCTGTATCAGGTGGGCGTTGTATTCTCTCTCTCTCCCTTTTTTTTTTTTTCCAAAATAGAAAACAAGCTCAGCAAGCTGGAGCTAAACAGAATTTGAATGTATAAAGGCCAACAAATGATATAATTTTGTATAGATGAAGAGCTGTGACAAAAAACACATGACCAGTGATTCAAAGTGATCTGGGCTATAAGCCAAATAACTGCAAATGCTGTAGCCCTTGATGATAACTGAGAGCTGGGTAGTGAGGGAAGGACACCTTGGAATTGCTAGTAAGGATGTGTGGAATAAAGACTCTTCTCTGTGTCTGTACTACCCTTTCTGTCTTGGGCTTCTACAGAATACCTACTTATTTATTTACATTCACATTTACCGGCTGAAGTTGTAGCTCAGCAGTAGAGCACTTACCTAGCACATGTGAGGCATTGGACTTGATCTTCAGCACAACATAAAAATAACAAAAAAAGGTATAGTGTCCGTCTATTTAAAAAAAAAATTCACATGTTCTTTTTTTGTGTGTCCCTAAGGCAGTTAAGTGCTTCTTTATTAATTCTTTTGTCTAGTTAAAAAAAAAGAAAAAGAAAAATTAAGTGACTGCTTTTATTTTAAAACGAAAATAATAAGCCATGAAAATAATACACGGTGATTTTTTTTCTAACTTACAGGATGTATACAGTAAAAATTAAAAGTCTCTTCCCCATTTACCCTCATTGCGTAGTCCTGTTCCTGGATGCAAACTATTTGAGCCCTTAAATGTATTCACAAGCTTGTGCTAATACTTATACATTTTTTAAAAACATGAATGCAATCATACCAGGTATACTCTGCATGTTGCTTCCCCTGCCCCCCAACTTAAAATATATCTTGGATTTGCTTCTCTATGTTCCATAAAGATCAATCTCATTCTTTTTGTTGTTGTTTTACAATGTTGGGGCTTGAACCCAGGATCTTGTGTATGCTAGGCAAGCAGTGTACCTTGGAGCTATATCCTCAGCACCTCTCTCATTCTTTTTAATGGCTGCATATTTCACATATAGGTATCCTATATTTAACATCCTTTTGAAGGACTTTTAGATTTTTGACCATTTTTTGCTATTATAAAATAATGCCTCAGTGAACCTTGCACACTTTCATGACTGTTAGAAAAATTCCAAGAATCACTTAGTTGAATAATTGCATTAAATTTTTGATAGTTTGGTGTCATGTACAGTGGGGATTACACTTTGTGCTTTAATGACCTGTTTCCACGTTTCTTCTGCCATGGAGTTTCTTTTTTGTTTTGTTTTTGTAGTACTGGGCATTGAACTCATTGGCTGCTGATCTTCATTCCCAGCCCATTTTAAGTTGCCCACACTGGCCTCAAACTTAGAATTTTTCTGCCTCAGCCTCCTGAGTAGCCAGGATTACAGGCATGCACCACCATGCCCAGTTTGG